TTTTTTCTGCCAAACCTGTATAATGAACATCACAATGTTTTGATTTCGCTATTCTGCGGTCGAAAGACGATAAGCGAAATTTTTAATTTTTAATTTTTAATTTGAGTGATTTAATGTAGTTTTCGTAAAATTTTCTCTGTGAAATGTTTTGAGGAATGAAGAGCATTAAGTTAACAGTGATAGTGATAAAAAAATATACATCAGAAAACGTTACCAAGAGCGTTTTTTTGAGGATCAAACAAGATAGGACGAAGTTGCATCCATAAATAGACCCAATTTGGGGACAATAGACCCATATTACATACATTTCCCTGGTGAGTTATTGTCTCAAAAAAAGTAAGTTTTTCAACTTTTCGTGGTTTCTGGTAGCAAACGACATAATAAGCATATCTAAGCATACCATTTAGCAGTAGAATATCGTTTGCAGGTAAATTAATTGATGAGTTATGATTAAAAACGTAATCGATGGCTGCATATTAGACCGAGGTTAGGGACGTATACCCTATACAGGCCATTCAAATATTCGATGTAGGATCTTACAAAGGGAGAGCAGGGTTTTGTTAAATATTAATAAGTTTTACTCTGGGGTTTGAAAATTCAAAGAAAGTGCTTACGTAATTATTACATGACCCCTGGATCATATTGGCGCCGCGTATAATCCACTAGGATTAATTCAATGATTCAATAATTCAAATTCAATTACGGGTCGGTTAATGCTGGGTAATGCGCAAAACAGATCCCATTGAGATCACTAGCCTCTTCCCAGCAACTCCTATCCCTACCTCCCCGTGGTACCGGCCGGGAACTGTGAGCAGGGGATCGGGTAACCAACCCCGGTGGGAACTTTGGTCATAGGCTGACAGGGAAGGGGGAATTTGCTTCGGCAAGCCTGAGCGTCTGTTCTCCAGGAGGACCGGCTCACAACAGCGTCTGTTCCCATGTTAGGGGCGGCTGATCTACGTCCGAGTGCCAGTGAAGGACTCTAAGCACAACTGTGCACCCTGGTCCTCCGGAAAGTTAGGGGGTTGATGTCAGGCCCTGCGAGCCAGCCATCAAAAAAGCATTGCAACGGAAAACCAGCAACAGAGGAATACGAACCGAGACCAACGGCAACGACCCCACCGACGAATTAGGACTTGCGATTGGAAACTCGGCACGTGGAACTGTCGATCTCTCAATTTCATCGGGAGCACCCGAATACTCGCCAATCTACTGAAGGACCGCGGATTCGGCATCGTAGCGCTGCAGGAGGTGTGTTGGACAGGATCCATGGTGCGAACGTTCAGAGGTAATCATACCATTGTCGGTGATCATACCATCTACCAGAGTTGCGGCAACACACGCGAGCTGGGCACAGCTTTCATCGTGATGGGCGAAATGCAGAAGCGCGTGATCGGTTGGTGGCCGATCGACGAAAGAATGTGCAGGTTGAGGATCAAGGGCCGATTCTTCAACTTTAGCATAATCAACGTGCACAGCCCTCACTCCGGAAGCACTGATGATGACAAGGACGCATTTTACGCGCAGCTCGACCGCGAGTACGATCGCTGCCCAAGCCACGACGTCAAGATCATCATAGGAGACCTAAACGCTCAAGTAGGCCAGGAGGAGGAATTCAGACCGACGATTGGAAAGTTCAGCGCCCACCAGCTGACGAACGGGAACGGCCTACGACTCATCGATATCGCCGCCTCCAAGAACATGGCCATACGTAGCACCTTCTTCCAACACCACCTCCCCTATCGTTACACCTGGAGATCACCACAGCAGACGGAATCGCAAATCGACCACGTTCTGATTGATGGACGGCACTTCTCCGACATTATCGACGTCAGGACCTATCGTGGCGCTAACATCGACTCTGACCACTACCTGGTGATGGTCAAACTGCGCCCAAAACTTTCCGTCATCAACAATGTACGGTACCGACGCCCGCCACGGTACAGCCTAGAGCGACTGAAGCAACCGGATGTCGCCTTTACCATACGCGCAGAATCTCGAGGCAGCGTTGCCAGAGGAGGGCGAGCTCAATGTGCCCTCTCTAGAAGACTGCTGAAGTACAGTAAAAGCAGCCATCACCGACGCAGCCGAGAGCACCATCGGGTACGTGGAAAGAAGTCGACGGAATTAATGGTTCGACGAGGAGTGCAGAGCGATTTTGGAGGAGAAGAACACAGCGCGGGCTGTAATACTGCAGCAAGGAACCCGACAGAACGTGGAACGGTATAAACAGAAGCGGAAACAGCAGACCCGCATCTTTCGGGAGAAAATACGTCACCTGGAAGAAGCGGAGTGCGAGGAAATGGAACTGCTGTGCCGTTCCCAAGAAACACGGAAGTTCTACCAGAAGCTCAACGCATCCCGCAACGGCTTCGTGCCGCGAGCCGAAATGTGCAAGGATAAGGACGGGAGCCTCTTGACGGACGGACGTGAGGTGATTGAAAGGTGGAAACAGCACTTCGAGGCGCACCTGAATGACGAGGAGAACGTATGCACGGGAGACCAGCACAATGGAGGAAACGACCACGTCAGTGCAGCAGAGGACAGAACTGACCCAACTCCCACGCTGAGGGAAGTTAAGGACTCCATTCAGCAGCTCAAAAACAACTGGTAAGGATGGTATCGCAGCCGAACTCATCAAGATGGGCCCAGAAAAGTTGGCCACCTGCCTGCACCGGATGATAGTCAGGATCTGGGAAACAGAACAGCTACCGGAGGAGTGGAAGGAGGGGGTAATCTGGCCCATTCACAAGAAAGGCGACCATTTGGAATGTGAGAACTTCAGACCGATCACCATTTTGAATGCCGCCTACAAAGTGCTATCCCAGATCATCTTCCGTCGTCTATCACCTAAAATGACCGAGTTCGTGGGAAGTTATCAAGCTGGCTTCATTGACGGCCGATCGACAACGGACCAGATCTTCACCGTACGGCAAATCCTCCAGAAATGCCGTGAATACCAGGTCCCAACGCATCAATTGTTCATCGACTTTAAGGCGGCATACGACAGTATCGACCGCACAGAGCTATGGAAAATCATAGACGAGAACGGCTTTCCTGGGAAGCTGATCAGACTGATCAAAGCAACGATGGACGGTGTGCAAAACTGCGTAAGGGTTTCGGGTGAACTATCCAGTTCATTTGAATCTCGCCGGGGACTGCGGCAAGGTGACGGGCTCTCATGCCTACTCTTCAACATTGCTCTAGAAGGTGTAATGCGACGAGCCGGGCTCAACAGCCGGGGTACGATTTTCACGAAATCCGGTCAATTTGTGTGCTTTGCGGACGACATGGACATTATCGCAAGAACATTTGGAACGGTGGCAGAACTATACACCCGCCTGAAACACGAAGCAGCAAAGGTCGGACTGGTGATGAGTGCGTCAAAAACAAAGTACATGCTAGTAGGCGGAACCGAACATGACAGGATTCGTCTAGGAAGTAATGTCACGATAGACGGGGATACTTTCGAGGTAGGGGAGGAATTAGTTTACCTTGGATCCTTAATGACGGCTGTGAGTCGTGAAATACGAAAGCGCATCATCAGTGGAAGTCGTGCCTACTACGGGCTCCAGAAGAAACTACCGTCAAAAAAAATTCACCCCTGCACCAAATATACCATGTACAGAACGCTAATAAGACCGGTGGTCCTCTATGGACACGAGACATGGACTATGCTCGAGGAGGACCTGCAAGCACTCGGAGTTTTCGAGCGACGTGTGCTAAGGACGATCTTCGGCAGTGTGCAGGAGAACGGTGAGTGGTGACGAAGAATGAACCACGAGCTCGCTGCACTCTACGGCGATCCCAGCATCCAGAAGGTGGCCAAAGCCGGAAGGATGCGGTGGGCAGGGCATGTAGCAAGAATGCCGGACAACAACCATGCAAAGTTGGTGTTCGCTACTGATCCGATTGGCACAAGAAGGCGTGGAGCGCAGAGAGCACGATGGGCGGACCAGGTAGAGCGTGATCTAGCGAGCATTGGGCATGACCGAGGATGGAGACCGGCAGCCGCAAACCGAGTATTGTGGCGTACTATTGTTGATTATGTCTTATCTTAAATGTGATGTTGTACAAATAAATGTATGTATGTAATTCTATTATAGCTCTGAGGATTTAGAAGACGGACCATTTTAAAGCACTCGGTGAAACTGAAACTGTTCAAGCATTCTGTTTGACGCTTGGAATTCACGAATGATGGATAAATAGATATTGTATAGACTTGTTCTTAATTTACTAGCTTTTATAAGCAAAGGTTTAAATTATCACCACCACTTCTGAAAACCCTCAAATTCGTCTCTTATACCTAATTCGACTGATAATTGCTAGAAGTCGATTAAATATTACATGGCAGTTCTTCCAACTTCCTCTGGTAGACTTCGACACTGCCTCAAGAAGTACAAACAGCTCCTAGAAGTCAAAAGCCGACTAACCCGCATACATTAGACAACTTCAGTCTATTTGTGAGCGATTGTATTTAGTTACAGGCCAAATTGACGTCAAACATCAAAATACAATTTTTAACCCTGATGAGGGTGATATCGTTAAGATTAATACAATTTCAGGATATGGATTTACTATTGCCAATATGTGCCACCGTTTGTCATCTACCCCACCGATGGTTCGCCATTTCAAACCAGCATTGGTTAGAGCCTGTTGATGTTGACAAACAAAAAATCAAGTAGATGACCCATCTTACCTCAGCTACACTTGCATGCACTAAAATGCTAACAAAAGTTCATCAAACTACCCTCGTCAGAATGTCCTTCAAACTAGGTCAACACGTTTTACTTTCACCAAGTGCTAATAGCTATGCTAAAACATCGACCAACAAATACCTTTCGATATGGCTTCTAAAGGAATTCCCCCTAAACCAGATGTTCTACTTTCCACCTGTTGATTCGAACATAATATCAAAATAGCTGAACTCCCCTTTTTAAACGCGCCATTTTTTTGCGCATTACACCCAACGATCCTAGCAACCGAATGCCCGTTCCGGTTACCCACGCGATGTCTTGGAAGTTTTTTGTTTATTTTGCCAATCCGTCTGGGACTGTGTAAAAAAATCTGGAATAAAGGAATTTCCGCTATATTCCGCTAATTAATTCATAAAAAATGACGGAACGAAATATCGAGCTTCAAACCACCTTGGTGCGGTACAACAATCCCGTTTTGGTGGTAAAGCACACGGAGAAGAAGGACACACCTCCGGATGTGGCGAAGGAGCAAACGGGACGTCCCGGTTCCGGCGGAGCTGTTGTTGTCGAAAGCCCACGGGAGACCGAAGAAATTCTCAACTGTATTCTACCGCCAAAGACTTGGGAAGAGGATGGGCAGCTATGGACCCAGACCGTTTCCAGTACGCCAGCTACTCGACAGGATGTGATCAACTTGCAGGAAATGTTGGACACAAGACTTCAGCAAACTCAGGCCCGCGAAACGGGAATATGTCCGGTGCGTAGAGAGCTGTACACGCAGTGCTTCGATGAGCTGATCCGACAGGTCACGATCAACTGCACCGAACGTGGGCTGCTGCTGTTGAGAGTTCGCGATGAGATTGCCATGTCGATGGAAGCGTACGAAACGCTCTACTGCAGTTCGGTGTCCTTTGGAATTCGGAAGGCCCTGCAGGCCCAGGAAGGCAAGGAGAAACTTCAGGAACGGATACAGCTGCTCGAGAAGGAGAAGGAAACGCTGGAAAATTCTATCAGTGATATGAAGATCAAGGCGGACCAAGCCGAACGAAGAAATGCCGAGTTGCGGGCGTCCGAGGAGAAGAAGCATGCCGAGGAGATTGCCTTCCTGAAGAAGACCAATTCGCAGTTGAAGGTGGGTGTTTTTTTTTTGGGTTAGAGAGACGCTTTTGGTATGTTAACTTTAATATTTTTCAGGCTCAACTGGAAGGAATTATCGCCCCTAAAAAGTAAACACCGGTAGGCTTTCGTGAAGATTAGGTAATTAGCATTATTTAGTCATACAAAAAATCTCACTTTTATTTCATAACAAGAGGAAATGCATTCGTTTTCTAACAATTTCACTTCGAACGAAGAGTGTGCTACTGATTGTTGTATGCCGAATAGTACCCATTCGAAATAGAACGTTGAACCTGATTGGGGGAGTTGGGGGTAGTTTAAACCTACATATTTCTGCGCGTTCACTGGTTTTCAGCACTTTTCGTTGATCTCCGGAATAGCCTTGAACAAATCGGCGACCAGGCCGTAGTCGGCAACCTGGAAGATCGGTGCCTCCGGGTCCTTGTTGATGGCAACGATCGTCTTCGAGTCCTTCATGCCGGCTAGATGCTGAATGGCACCGGAGATACCGACGGCAACGTACAGCTCCGGAGCGACAATCTTACCGGTTTGACCGATCTGCAAATCATTCGGTACGAAACCGGCATCAACGGCGGCACGAGAGGCACCCACGGCTGCTCCCCACTTGTCGGCCAGGTCGTACAGCATTTTGAAGTTGTCGCCAGACTTCATGCCACGCCCACCGGAGATGACAATCTTGGCAGCGGTCAGCGATGGCCGATCGGACTTGGTCAGTTCCTGGCTAACGAATTCCGTCAGGTCGGTTTTGTAGTCGCCTTCCGGAGCCTTTTCGGTGGCTGCGCTTCCGCCGGATCCGGCCGCTTCGAAGTTGGTTCCACGGACGGTGACCACCTTGACTGGGTCCTTGCTCTTGATTGTTTGGATGGCGTTTCCTAGGGAGAGGGTGTAGAAGAGTTAAGGTTGGATTTAGTAAAAAAATTGTTTTTTTTTTCGAAGGCCGTGGGATTTTTTTTAAATAAATCTAGATAGAGCTGGAAGTAGGGCGTAACAGCCTTTGTAAACAATACCTTCTCTCATTGATTTCTAGGAATTCACAAACCAACATATCCATCGAGTAGGGGAAATCCTCGATGGCGATGTCGATTTGCCAGGGAGAGCCATGACTTTCCCGAAATCATCGAGAGAAGTCTTTGTTTACAAAGGCTATTACGCCCTAATTCCAGCTATATTTAGAAATCGTGATAAGTCTATCATGGAGGAGTTCGTAACGCTGTGCTGTTGGATTGTTATTTATTTGCAGTAGTGTTTCATTGTTGTCTGAAGATTTCCAGAGCTTCGGGACAAATCGGTAGAACTCCATAAGCGGGTACATTGTGCTGAGTTTCGACAACAGATCCGGAATGTCTCAGGTCAGGTTCCGGGAGACTGCCGTTCCAGGTCAAATAGCGAAAAATAAACAAATTTTAAATTTTACCTCTCCGAATTCCATGACCTTTGCATGATTGTTCGCTAGAACCAAGTTTATGCTAAAATTCGGCCATTTTGACTCACGCCTCACGTGAACAACTATGCGAGTTCAAAAAGTTCATTAATAGTTGCTTTACAGTACTTTTATTAAAACTTCAAAGTTACAGCATTAGATGGTTACATTTCTCCAGTTCAAACGAAATTTCGATTGCCAACACTAGAGGCGTGCTAGCGGCGCGCGAGGGGCGTTCTTATTTACTTTTAGTCAGCCTTTATGACTTGTGCATACTTAAGTAATATATTTCTGAGACAACCTTCCCCCTCATTCCCTTCTGTGCCCCCCCCCCCCCCCTCCTAAGTACTAACGTAATTATAAAATGTCCCCTAATATGTTTAATGATTTCTAAATTCGAAGAATCAATAGAAGAGATGCCCAGAAAATTATTGATCGCTTAGATCTTCCGAATAGGCTGATCGTTCGAACGAACACGAGAATATGGGTGACATATTCATATTCCAATCGGTTGAAAAATACACTTGATCTTCTAGGTTACTCGGTATCTATCCATTGCAAGCAATATTTTGATAGTTGTTTATGTTTTGAGAGTTGGTGCACAGGTAGATTGAGGTTAAGAAAACGCTACTGGGATTATCATGAAGATCTTTAAATCAACTGAAATGTATGCTCTTTTCACTGGAGCTAGCTTTTGAGGGCCATACATTTATTTTGCGTGGCATTACGTTGCGTTCGTAGATTGTATACTGGCAATTTGGAAATCAAAACCGCAAAAACATGACACCGATCTCCTCCGTTACGAGGAAGGAAGGATTCTATTCCTGTCCTTGTTTTTTTGCTTTTACTGTAGGTAGGTTACTGCCTCAGGGACCTCCCTTAGTTCAGTCGGTAAAGGCGCAGCTGCAAAGCAAGACCATGCTGGAGGTGGCTGTGTTCGATTCCCAGTCCGGACTAGGAATTTTTCGGGTTGGACAATTTCTCGACTTCCCTGGACAATAGCAGGGCTGGTAGTGAGTCACTTTTTATTGACTTGGTTGTCGTGACCGGACCGAGGTTTCCAGCCTCGGCAACACGAATTAGTGATGCAGCTCCCACGGGTGCGGTTGCTTCTATTGCTGCTGCTGCTGTTTCTGCTGCTGCTGGTGGTCCGTCACCTCCAAAATTCGTTACAAGAATGACTTCAACGAGCTTAGGTACTTCATATTTATACCTGCTAACCTATCAAAATTCTCTAACCAATGAGATTATGTTTACATGCGAACTATCACGCTTCACGCTCACTTGATTCTACTCATTATTTATTCAACACTAACTCTATCTACTACATTCTTCCCCTCTTCTACTCTCCTTAATTGAGGAAGGGGGCATTATATCCACCCATTTGGGGGAATTTTATCTACCCTCTCGGGGGACTTTCATCTACCATCTCAGAGATATTTCATCCATCAGGTCATGGCAATTCTAACTATTTAAAAATTTCTTCAGTCCATCCATCGGGTAATGGAAATTCTTATCTACCATCCGTCCCAGAATTACCAGGTCATGGTAATTCTATCTACCATCCATCAGGTCATGGTAATTCTATCTACCATCCATCAGGTCATGGTAATTCTATCTACCATCCATCAGGTCATTGTAATTCTATCTACCATCCATCAGGTCATTGTAATTCTATCTACCATCCATCAGGTCATGGCCATTCTATCTACCATCCATCAGGTCATGGTCATTCTATCTACCATCCATCAGGTCATAGCAATTTTTTCAAAATAATTCTTCAGTTCTTTAGTCATTCCACTATACTTACACTATCGTATCGACTGCGCCATTGTCGTGACCGGACCGAGGTTTCCAGCCTCGGCCACGACAACACGAATTAGCGATGCAGTTCCCACGGATGCAGCTGCTTCTATTGCTGCTGCTGCTGCTGTTTCTGCTGCTGGTGGTGGTCCGTCACCTCCAAATTTCGTTACAAGAATAACTTCAACGAGCTTAGGTACTTCATATTTATACCTGCTAACCTATCAAAATTCTCTAACCAATAAGATTATGTTTACATGCGAACTATCACGCTTCACGCTCACTTGATTCTACTCATTATTTATTCAACACTAACTCTATCTACTGCATTGGTCACTTTTTTCAAGCCAGTCACTAAAAGGTCTCTTTTTTTAAGGTCAAGTCACTAAAGTCACTTTTTCTTGTAATCAGTCACTATTTTCAACTATTTTAGCGTGAATTTATTTCAATATTGATCATTATTTGCTTTGTGACGTTTAATCGTCTTTTTCTATCTACAGGCTGTCTACTCATTTTTCTAAATAAAATTTCCTGAGTTGTCCAGGTTTTCCCAGAACATTAACGGATAAATTCAAGGCTTATAATAAGAAAGCTTTTTTTTAATGCGTTTAAAATATGCTTTTTCTGTTATCAGTTATAAAGAACATGTTTGTAATCAAATCCAATGAATGTTGAACTTAATTTTTCACTGTTCACAGTTTAAAAAAACGTACTTAATTTGAGTAAGTCCAAAATCTAAAAACATTCAATGTCTTGTAGTTTCGTATTCCATGTACAAGTTCATGATATTGAAAATTTTCCAAAGTGCCTGAATTAAGGAAAACATTAAATGATTTATTTCAAGTTCGTGATTAACTTTATGAAATATTAGAGATCTTCATTGCAGTCCCATTAACTTCACAATAATTGTAGGAACTTTGAACTTTGAGAATTTCAGTAAAGCTCCATAAACAAACTGCGGGAACATAAGGGAAGTAAATACACTGAAATTATGGGGAACTTACTGGAAGCTTTAAGATCCTCAAATCGGTTCTTTTAACATTTATGAAGTTTTTAGAATTTCAGAGCACATCACAGGTGTTAAGCAAACTTGAGAAATATAGAAACCTTGAGGGGTATTGTGCAAATTAAAAAAAAATCTAAGCGCCTCAGAAAAGCTAGATCTAGAGATCTTTGGGGAATTTCAGATCTTAAGAGCAGTTCCCATGACTTTAGTTCAGACTTTTTAGAGCAGTTTAAATATCTATAATCGTAAATTTAGGAAAATTTAGAACCCTTAAGATGTTCCGCGAATTTCAGGGAAGTACAGAGACCATCAGATAATTTATGAAAACTTCATAAATATTTTAGGAACTTCACAGAAGTCCAAAGAATTTCAGAGAAATTTATCTTCAATAGAATTGAGAGCTTTAGGGAAGCTTCGAGAACATCAAGGCAGATCAGAGAATCAAAGGGCAGTTCAAAAAATTTAAAGAAAATTGTAGAAACCTTCAAGAAGTTCCGGAAACTTCAACAAAGCTCCGATAGAACTTTTGGAACGTGATAAAAAAGTGAGTATTTTAAGGGTGTTATATCATGGAAGTATCAAGAACTTTAAAAAATACGAAAGTTTAGCTAAGTTGATTAGAGAATATCAACGAAGTTCCATTCATTTAAAAAAATGCGAGAACTATTTTAGCAAGCAGAGATAAATATCTTCAAGAAATTCCAGAGAACTTAGAATTTAGATAGTTTCATGATATTCAGCGAAGTTCCGAGTACTTCGAGGACGATCAGAATAATCCCATTAACTTAAGCAAATTTGCAGCGACTTACAAGGAATTCCGTGGATTTATGGGATATTCCAAGAATTCTATGATTGATCTAAAAACTTCAGGGAATTTTAAATATATAATATGTATTAGAAAATTTGGCGGACAAACAAATTTAGAGAATTTCAGGTAAGCAGAGTTTAGGGAAAATAAGTGAGCGTTTTTAATGGTTACAATACTTAAGGAAAATTGTCCAAACTTCAAGGCAAATCAATTAATTTCAGTAAAGTTGTGGGTTGTTAGAAATACTGATAAATTCAGGGCAACCTAGAGAACTTTAAAGAATTTCGTTTAGGCAGTTTTAATAACACCCGGAAAGTCTAAACTATTGAAGAAGTTTTAAATTAGTGTCTATAATTTAATGGAAGTTTCATGAACTTCAGAAAAATCATGAGAACTTAAGTGAAAATCATAAAACTATACTAATTATTTCATTCTTTTTTTTTATTAATTTATTTGATAAGGCTCAACCGAATTAACTTTACAGAGCCTAGGATTCTTGGTCACTATACAATACATCTTAAAACTATAGTCAAAAGGTGCAACACAATAAACACTTTATCTTCCGCTATCCAAAAAGCTTCTTCCATCAGAACTGGAGCCGCATCCAGTAGTTTCATTGTATGGCAAATTGTTGTACGCCAACGAGGGTCAGAGCGCGTCCATTGCAGCAATGGACGCAAAACGTGGTCAGCACTCACACACTCATCACGAAACGGTTGCTTTCCAAAGTCGACGACACATCGACCGAAAGAACTGCTGATGAAGAACAATGAGGAGGACCACACAATGGTTGCTGCCGAGAAAACAGACGATCGCGTAGCACACATCGAGAGTGGCCTGCTTTTGTCGACAGCCGAGTGAACACGAATTATTTCATTCTAATTTCCATGAAAATTGCGGGAGCACAAAAGTTCCAGAAATTTAGAAAAACTTCGAAAACTTCAAAGAAGGGCAATACCACTGAAACATTTCGAGAACTTCATAGGAAAAATTTGAGAAATTCTCAGAATAGTCCATTTCATATTCAACGGAAATTTCGATTAAGCTATCCTTCGAATTCAATTTTCTTTTAGTTTTTAGCGGAATTATCTTGAAATTCCCCACAATAAGACACCCTTTGGAAAGATTATCAGAATATTCATTGAATTCATTTCAGATTTCCTTTTGTATCTCACTCCTTCCCTTGGAATTCTACTCACATTGAAAGTCTCCTAAGAATTCATTTTCTACTCACAATTTCCTTAGATTTCTTCTCATAATTTGTTTGGAAAACTCTCCTGAATTTATTTTCCGAATTCCTTTGAAGATGTCCTGGAGTTATCTCAGATTTAATTATAATCCCTCTTTTCGTATTTTCAAAAAAAATTCCAAGGACTTATGCTCCGAATTTGTTTTCTCCCACACTTTATGAAATTATTCTCAGAATGCCCTTGGAATTTTCCTTTGAAGTTCACAGGAGTTGTGCTCCTCAGAAATTCCTAAGCGTTTTCAATAAAATTTATTTTTAATTCAATTCAGGGTCACTTTTTAGTCACTATTTTTACAAATATCAGTCACTATTAAGTCACATATTTCTTCAACATGGTCACTAAAATCATTATTTTTGACAGCAGTGATGACTACCAGCCCTGCAATAGAAGTATGATTGGACATGCTACAAAATTATACCAATGCAACAATGGTACAGGCTTCGAAATCTCTCTATTAATAACTGTGGAAGTGCATCTATAGAACACTAAGTTAGTTGAGAGCACGCTATAAGCTAATATTCGATATGCAATAAGCTCGAAATGCGAAGAAGTAGAAGAAGGCGAAGAAGAAGGTTGCTGCACTGTGAAATTGCGAAGCGAAATGAGAAAAAGGACTCTGGGTACAAGGAACCATAACAATCTATTACTACAATACACTTATCAATATTAATTGTACCTGCCTTGTACAAACCGTGTACCGCTACAACATTCAAATTTGCATGGCTAAACCGCTAGCCAGACTGAGCAGTTACAACATATTATAACACTGTAGTCTAAACGTGGTGTACCGATACAGCATTCCATCCATAAATGCGATGGGTGGTACCGTCCACCCACCGCTATTTGTTGGTTGTCCTTCAACTAATTGACCTGATTTTCGGTAGATAACTAGTTTATGGTTGATACTAATGACATACAAAAAATCAACGTAATTGGTTGAAGAACAACCGAGCAATAGCGGTGGGTGAACGGTACCACTCACCGCATATATGACGGGAATGCTGTACAACGTCAAACTCCACGGTCATATGTCAGCATATTTCCATATTTTTAGAACTACGAACCGATGAAATTAACAGCCCATCTTCTTCTTCTTCTTCCTCGCATTTCAAGCTTATTGCGTATGGCATATTAGCTTATTGCGTGCTCTCAACTTAGTGTTCTAGATGCACTTCCACAGTTATTAATTGAGAGCTTTCGATGCCTGTAACATTTTTGCATTAGTATAATTGTGTGGCAAGTCCAATCATACTTCTATGCCCAGGGAAGTCCAGAAATTTTCCAACCCGAAAAATTCCTAGACTGGACCGGGAATCGAACCCAGCCACCTCCAGCATGGTCTTGCTTTGTAGCTGTGCCTTTACCGACTGAGCTAAGGGAGGTCCCAAATAACAGCCCATACACTACACAAAAAGAGATAAGAGAAAATCTCCAAACGAAAAGTCACTCTACTCACCGGCATAGATCGTCCTGACGAAGGTATCCGCCGACTTAATGTCGATGATTTCGGAAATGGGCGAAACATCCAGCTTGGCAGCGATCCGTGGCAGAACGGCCTTTCCCATAGCGGACGCTCCCGCCAGGATGTGGGTAAACTTGAACTGGTTCTGGGTGGCCAGGACCAGTGGGGTCAGGGCCTCCGCTACCTGTCCGTTGAAGGCAGCGCCTTCCGCTACCAGCACCTTGGACACGCCATCCAACTTGGCGGCGGCTTCGGCCACCGAGCCGACCTTGGTACCGGCGACCAGTACGGTCACATCTCCGCCCAGTTTCTTGGCAGCGGTCACAGCATTGGCCGTGATCGGGTTCAGGGTATCATTGTTGTGTTCGGCCAGCACCAGTGTACTTTGGAACCGGCAAAGCTAGTGTAAAATGGATTCTTATGTAATGAGCTATATTTTTGAATATACTATTAACAGCGGTGGACTAAACTGAGCACGTCTTCTTCTTATTAATCCAGTCGCCGCTTAGTAGCAGGTAGTGCCGTTATCAGTTGCTTGCCATTCCTGCTGATAGGGGCTTTGCAAGTTGTCCTCGTCGCTACTTAGTTCGACGTCATGCAACTGGTTTCGTAATTTAGAAACCATTCGCTGAATCTGCTTACCTGGGTGGAACGGACAATACCGGATGAATATCTGGCGAACATTTTGATCAATTGCACACAGAGGTTGATTGAATTCAATTAAATACAATAAAACTATGAAATAATGTGGATGTTCTGCACGCACCACTGATGTTACCACTGCTGCACGGAACGGAACAAAAACACGAACAGAGGCACACACAAAGAGAGAGGAGTGATGATGACTTTTTGTACTTTGCTCCCGACGTAACGTAACGCTTGTTCGGACGCAAACCACGCAAACGCGAATTCGCGGATTATCATCATTGATGATGACAGCCGTCTGGGTTCCAGAATCTGCTGTGAAGCAGTGAGGTCAGAAGATTATGTTGAGTATTTTTGATTCGGTTTTATCTCGGATTTTATAGTGTGAAATTTTGGATGTAAACATAAATACATTCAGAAGCATTTAGCACATCCGATTACAATGAGCTACAAGGAAGATTCAGTGCAAGTTGTAAATTATACTTTATGGAGCATTTGAACAGGTAGGTACAGTTTACACATTATTAAATAAGGTACAGCCCTAATCAAATTTGCATGGTTATTACGACGTGCTCGAGTACATTAAAATTTATTGTTGAATTGTTGTACGGGAGAAAAAAAATAAATTCATTTTTTAACGATACAATGCTCAAACAATTGACGAGTGCACGGATGGATTTGAGTTCACTCACTCGACAAAAAGTGACACAACAGCGGGGCCCTGTTTACTAAAAATGAACACATATGTTCATTTTTAGTAAACAGGGCCCCGCTCTCGGCGCCTAATACATAGGTGCCACAGTCGGAAGAAGTGTTAGTTTGTTTACTAAAATGAACCATGCCCATTTTGTTATGGCATGTTTGCTATAAGAAATGCGCCTCGTGTTTATTAGCGAATTTCACATCAAAGATTTATTAATTGAGTAGAAAATCAGTTTGGCACGGCATTTGTGACCAGCATACACCTTCCGGTAGTATGAAACAGGTCAAAAACTGTTCAAATCCGCAGATCAAAATTTTTGTTTTGAATTTCTGTATAGAAAAATAGTGAACTTTTCGTGAACATTAACGGCAAAGAACTCACCAACACTGGGAGACCGTGAGTTCCTGCCCACCTGTCATAAAACCGTCTTGGGCCCCGCTGTTGTGTCACTTTTTGTCGAGTGAGTGAACTCAAATCCATCCGTGCACTCGTCAATGGCACATTTAGATAAACATTTCAAAAGGTCCTATATGCATTGATCGATTCTCTTCATCGACTTTGGGCCCATGCATTAATTATGTCACGCTAAATCGAGAAGAAATTTACCTAATGCATTGCTTGTCACAAAATCTTAGACAAAATATGCTAAAGGATTGCCGAAAACAACACCAAATGTATACCGCAGATATTAAAAAAAAAAATCAAAGTAATTGAATATAACGATCCATACAGTATGTCCTTTCCTGCGCTTGGAAACCAAAATATCCCGTCCACGGTTACTACTGGTCATGTCGTCGATTACCTTCTAAACTTCGTGTCTCCATATACTGGTCATCCTATGAAGATAATAGTCAAAGTATGGATGGGTATAAAAAATTCGAATCCGGGTTCGTACATTCCGTCCAGGGAACTGTACGAGAAGGCTATCATGTTGTTGTTGGAAAGGTAAGAAACCATATATGTGGGTAACACATAGTAAGTTTATTTTTTTTTTAATCTTTTGTCAGGTTATCCACTCGATGAAGCTGAGGGAAGGTATGTTGAAACCCTGGATAATCTTAGACCAACGAGGAAACATAATATATGCACACTGCACCTGCGTTGCCGGTATAAGCGAGACATGCTCCCATGTCAGTGCCATCCTGTACTCATTAGCTAATCTTCATGCCCAGTCTATTAATAGTTCTTCTATTCGCGGAACCTCCGCTGGGATATCTCCACCATACTGCTTCTCACGGACGGGAATCGGAAAATGTAGGTTGTAAATGTAAATGTGGGTTGAATTACATTTTGGAACAATGCACTTTTTAGTCATCTTTTCCGCGAAATACTACTTTGAGACTATGAAACGGATCAACTATTGTTCAAAACAGACTTGTTAAACATTGCCCGCAGCGGATGTCATTTCCAATTGGAACGAAAAGTATGCCGTCACGGTGGTTAAGTTCTTACACGGTGTTTCTTGAATACCCATTAATGGGTAAAAAATACCCATTTTCAAACCGTGTATAGTGCACATATTTAGTCGAGACATTCACCGTTGAGTTACGAAAACCCCCCTCTGAAATGGTGCGTTACTGATTAAAGGTTTTATACATTAGGGTGAAAGTGACTGATCGCGCATACACGGTAAGAAAAAAGTACCCAACGGAAAGTTCACTTTTACTTACTTTTGACTAGTTTGTCTCCTTTTCTCCTTCTAATGTTGTCAAAAACAAAGGAGCAAAACCACCCAACATGGGTAGTAAAGTGTGGGAACCCAACGTTGCGTATAATCATGTTTACCTACTTTTGGGTAGAACTAACTTACTTTTGGGTAGAAAGCTAGTGGAAAATTCCATACGAATTGCACACAAGTTTATGAAAACTACTTTGGCCCGCTTTACCTAATTTTGGGTTCCTGGGGGGAGGTAGCTCATCGATTCTTCCGGTTCGCCTCCTAGCATCGTGCTATAAGGTACCAGGCGATAACCAGGGTAGTTGATCGATAGCTCGATGACGTCATTTCGTTGGCGTCTGCTATGGGAAATTCTCATAGCAGGCGTTGACGATGGGACGTTGTCGAGTTGTTGAATAGCAACTATCGTGGTAACTCACCGATTACCTGTCGATCTGCCAAATTTGGAAAGACGTCTGCATTGAATTGTCTCATATAATAATATTCCGCCCACTATATCACAAGAAATTGCGAGTAGATGAGTGGAATGGAGATAAGTTAAGCATTGGGTACAGGACCAAGTTTCCCCTGGGTGGTGCCAGAAGATGAGCGCAATAGAATCATCAAGTTGCCATAAGGCACGGAATGAGACTATTGCATGGCTGGGTAGTCAAAGTCTTCCATTCGTTAGTCATTTCAGGTGGATTAGAACAGGTTTAGGTTTAGGGTGGGCGTTGGCCAGATTTGGATTTTTCAGATATACACCCCTATTCTGTATTTCGTTTCGAACGAGATTCTCATACAAAAAAATATTTTTTTGTATGAGAGTTTCGTTCGAAACGAAATACAGAATAGGTGTGATAATCCTAAATAGGACCTAGATTATTTAATACACTAGTAACCTCAACTTCTGTCACAATGTTTCATTGTGACTAATCAACACTCAATGGGTAAAATATCAAATTTGCGGTAAATTTGAAAAAAGGGAACTTGGAGTGTAGAGTGCACTGCCCACTGGACGATTCTGAAGCCTGACCAAGTGAGTGGGTTACGGGTTTATTTGATTGTACGTCATTTCCAAGTTACATAGATACATTCATACCATTGGCATTTTGTATTTGAGATAAGACAGAGACAGGATGCGGAGGGCCCGCTTAGGGGGAGCGTAACCCATGTTATGGCTTCCATTTATTAAATAGTTCAGATAGGCTGGAAATGATAGGTTCATGGTGAGAAAATGTACCATATGGTGCCCGTTCACTGATCAAAATTAGATTCAAATCGTCAGGCCCTGCCCTGGAATAAGGGAATTGACGATGATTTGTCAAGTTTCATTTTGCATTTGCATATAATTGTAAGTTTAGGTTTGCTTTTGTAATTGTAAGATAGATAGTTTGCCTCAATTGAAACATTGAGTTAAACATGACGAATCATACCTCTAAAATAGTAGTAGTTACAGTGCCGCATTATCTAACTTTTGTTTTGTTTGTTTACATATAACTAATACTAATACCTCCTTGTTTTCTCTCTAATTTGTCTACTATGTCCCACCATCACGATGAGAGATGAGCTACCGTACATGGTACACGCTCATATACACTCCCAAAATAGTATGCCGCAAGTAAGTATATCACAGAGGCAACTAAAGATCCAGAAACAAAAACCGAAAACGCTGAACGGCAGATTGGTTTACAGTGGTCGACCAGGGTGTGTGCTGATAAATTACAAAATTACAATTACATCATTATTTCATACATCAGCTTGAATTGCGTTGATCGATATTACATTTTTTTTGCTGTGCACTACACCACCGGAGCCAGCAAAGTTCAACAATCCATCGTTGCTTATGCCTTTGTTGTCGTTTGGAACCAGTTTTGCGAGGTAGGTGACGATTGTGCGTATTTCTCACGTAAATTTTTTAAAAGGGCCTAGCCTGAACAATACGTAAAGAGCAAATTGAAACATTGTACGTCGCGTGAAATTGGAACTTAATGAAGGCCTAAGTACTTTTTCGTAGTTTTTAGTTTTCGGATTTGCAAGATCGTCGGTTACAGTGGCCTGCTTACTGAGCATTGTGTATTTTGCGAAACTCGTTGTTGTCGTTGGTTCCGGGTTTGAATGGATACACAAATTTGAGCAACGGTATTATGTGATATGAGGGGCTCGGTGGCCTTAGAGCAACCGTTTTTGCTTACTGAGCAGAACATCATGAGTCTATTCTCAGGCCCATCCACAATCAAGATTCGTCAATCGTTTTATTTGTTAATATGACTACATGGTAATAACAGCAACTCGGTGATTAAAAAGGTGCTCGTCTGCCTAGTGGCAAACGTTTTTGCTTACTGAGCAGAAGACCGTGGGTTTAGTCCCAAGCTCCTTCGCGTTATATGATCGTTAGGACATCAATTCAGCTTATCGTTTACCAAAACGAACCCTGCTGCAAACCCAACCCTCTTATCCAACATCCCAGTGATTCCTCGTGGAAGTGCAGAGGTGTTCTCGGCTTCCATCAAAGCGAGTGTCATGTCAACACAATCCTTCCCATTCCTTTCTTGACCTGTGTTCGGGCGCGGCCGGCGCTGGTATTGCCTAATTCAAGATCACCAGTTTTTACACATTGAGGATGATTGCTAGTCCCAAGCATCGTCTATTGGTTCTCTGTGTAATTACAGCTGATCTGGCAATAACAGAGTAGCAACCGTGGGCGGTCAATCAAGCTCAAGCTCAAGCTCAAGCTTTACCTAATTTTGGGTTCCTGCACTATAGTGCCGAGTTGAGTGAAAATAACATACTTTTGGGTACTTTTTTCTAACCGTGTAGAC